TTGTTATAGTAGTTACTGTTCAGGAAGTAAACCGTACCAGCTCCTGCATCATGCTTCGTCAGATAAATCAGTCTGTCTTTGAGACACTGAACCACTGATGATCATTAACGGGTAATTACTGAGTTAGCAGCTGTGGTCTCCTGGGTTTGCATGTTTATTCCCGTGTGTGTGTGTGTGTGTGTGTGTGTGTGTGTGTGTGTGGTGTGTGTGTGTGTGTTTGGCTGCAGGACAGAGGAGATACAGGAGGAGCGGTGTTGTCTCTCAGGACTTTAGGTTTGCAGTAAACTGGTGGTGCCCGGGATAATCAGAGCAGAAACATGTCAGGAGGAAGCCGCTCTTTCTGCACCAGACACAAAATCACATCCTGGTTAGCAACACTCTGAGGGCGTTTTCACACCTCACCTTTTCAGTCCAGTTAAAACAAACTCAACCAACTCTCTACCTGATTAATGTCACAGAGCTGCTGTACCGTCTGCTTTCCTTCATCCCGCTGTCAGCAGGTGTACCATCAGAGAGAGAGAGGTCTTTGACCGGACTGAATGTTTTTAGAGTTCTTAAACTCTTCAAGTCGGGTTCAGGGAAACTTCATTTGACTCTTGGTCGCAGGACAGAATAACAAACGGAGAGCTCTAGATTCAGAATCAGATGCTCAGTACACCCAGACATCCTCTGGAAGCTGCTCAATGAGCGGGGTTTAAAATGCAGTGACATCTTTACAGGTCAGAGAGAGGAATATTTATTCACGGGGTCGCAGTACTTTGAAGGTCTTTGAAGAGTTCAACATTAAAACAACTTCTTGTGTCTAAAAAAAATTATCTCATTGTCTCTTGTCACTGTCGTTTTTTCTGCAGCTCCTTCAGTCAGCGTTTATCAATCTTTGTGACTGTCAGTTAAACTCAGGTTTTACTTTATCAGTGAAACAGTCCCCCCCCCCCCTCCCGACAAGGACTTGTCTCCAAACAGAGACTTTTATAATTACCCATGAATGAGCGGCTTCCTGTGCTGATGAGTTAAGAGCTCTTGAAGGATTCCTCTGACAGCCTTTGTGTCGGAGCTGGAGGTGAGAGAAATGTTTCTGCGGCGTCGACACAAAAAGACTTTTACACGACAGCAGGTTTCTATTGTTGGAGGAGAAATGGGAAGTTTAAGAACTCTGCAGAATCTCGACTCTGTGGAACGATCTTATCTCTGACTGCAGGAACAATCAGATTTTCACCAGGAAGTCCCTGAAGATGTAAATCTGTTCACTGAGAGAGAGCGAGACAGCACACCAGGTAGAGTTTATATAAAAGATTAAACACGATAAAAACAGAACAATGATGCCAAACGAGAAGGAAAACACCCGACCCAGCTGCTGGTCTGTTCTAGATTTTAGTCAGGTGGACTAACACGACCTTAAGTTTCTCCAAAGGGAGTCCGCCAGTTTGCACTATTTATTTGTCAGTGATCTGATTGGCTGACAGCGTCTAGACTTCACTGATCTCTCGTGGTACAGATGTGGCTGTCAATATCTACACAGGCTTTGGACAAAGCTTAAATAAAGATCCAACATTTTGCCCTAAAGAAACCCAGCCCCAAGTCACAATCCAGAGGTCCTCCTTTGCAGCAGACAAACTCGGCAGACTTGCGCTCTGCCTGTGCTCACCTCCTGTCAGCACCTGTGCTCTGCCTGTGGTCACTTCCTGTGAGCACCTGTGTGGCTCAGTTGGTAGAGTCGGTTGTCTCTCAACAGGAAGGTTGGGGGTTCGATCACCAGCTCCTACAGCAACATGTCGATGTGCCCTTGGGCAAGACATTTAACCCCAAGTTGCTCCCACTGCTTCATCAGTGTATGAATGGATGAGTTAAAAGCTTCTTCTTTGTCATAACAAACATTCTGATATAGACTCTCTATCCTTCCCCCTATAGCTGTACTTGAGCTGCACACTCTCCTCTCTCTCTCTCTCTCTCTCTCTCTCGTCTATCTGTAAATGTTTTCTCAGCCTTGAGTGTCACAATGCAAACATTGATTTTTAATACTGATGGACTCTTTACTCAGCGGCCTCTACCATCAGTGTGTAAGCGTGTAGGTGTGACCCGTTGTGTAAAAGAAATAAACAGGGTTAGGTGTCTATTAAGTGTTACCATCAGACCTAAAGCTGCTTGTTTGCCCTTCCTGTCGTTGTCTCCTCCTCTGTTGATCTTTGCTTGTGTAATTTTTACTCTGATGTGTCCTCAAATTGATAAAGTCAGTGTCCAAAAACAACAGAAAAGTGCTGCTGTGTGAATGTTATGTTATAATATTAGGCGCTGCTTTCAAACTGTCTTACCTGCACGATACAAGTTGTCATTCAAACTTTGATATCATGTTTCAAGATGTTTTTTGAATGGAGGAAGGTCATCTTTCTCTGAATCTGTTCTTCAGAAAGCTTTGAGTGCGTGTGATGGGTGACCCTCCTTCATGCCTCGGTGTGTGTGGTGTCTGTATTTTAAACTTCTCCTCTCTCTGTCTCCTCTCCAGGTTCCATCGCACGGTGCTCCTACATCAAGTATCACTACTCCTCGGCTACGATACCCAAAAACCTCTCGTACAACATCACCAAGACGATAAGGCAGGACGAGTGGCACTCCCTCCGTAAGTCTGAAACCCTCTCCTGTTACAGCACGTTACTCGTCCACTCTGCAGGCTGTTTGAGTCCTCACTTTGAGAAGTTCTTCTGCTGTGACGTATATTTACACAAGAACACATGAAGATGAACACCGACAGTAAATGAGCTGCTGGTTATTCAGTGCTCTCATTTAGTCTCTACTTAAAGGACTGTTTAGCCAATTATGGCATCTAAAGTCAGGAACATGTTGTCGGTCTGAAAGCAGCTGATTGTTCTGATGAGCAGGTTCTCGATGTTCCCGTTAGATCAGGAATCAAAGGGACGATCTCTGTCAGCTCTGTGCCTCTCTGCAGGAAATGATCCCTGATCTTTGATGGTGTGATGCTGCAGGAGGCCGTCCTGTACTCGTCCTGATGTAGAGCCAAATGCGTCAGCTTCTTCTGATCAGAGAGCTGTGTGATGATGATGATGATAATGATGATGGGGGGCACAGCTCCTACTGGCCTGAGGCCTGTTTTTGGAAGAGGCAGCGCTGCAGGTCATTGTCCTGATGTTTGTATATGTTTCCTGGGAATCTGAAAGCTACAGCCCCAAAAATAATTGCCATCGCCCTGAAGGACTAAACCGAACTATAGCCAAAGTTTGCCTTAAAATATGTCAACTATTCACCCACTATGTTGCCTAATTTCTCCAGCAGCTTGTTGAACGACCATGTTGCTGAGATCTTAATTACAGTCTAGCTTTTACCCCTGGTGCCCCCTGTTGGTCGGGTTAGGGATAGCAGCATCATCAGTATTCTGTTAGTTAGTTGTCAGCGCTCTCGGCGCTCTTCTTTCAGCCCGACTGTCTCTGAGTGAGTCTTCTGAGCGTCCTGTTCTGAGCGTCTCCTCTGTTTGCTGCTGGATTACATCAGCACGGTGCGAGCTCTGTCAGACGACTCTACAGGGAGTCTGTCTGCTCTCAGGATACCTGCCATTCACGAGCCGCTCCTGCGTGGCCACTGAGCCGAGTGGAAACACGCTCTGACCCCAAACTGTCAGCGACTCGGGGCTGACTCGTCCTCCTCTGTCAGGTGACGACTCGGGAGAAAACTTGTGTCTGCTGCGAGCTGCTGAAGATCGCTCTATGTCGTTTTTCTTTTCCTTTTTTTCCTCCGTGAGGCTCCGTCCTATAAAACAAAAGAAGGAGAACTGAAGCTTCATACATTTAGAGCAAACACACGGCGAGGGGAGGTCAGGTGTGAACAACAGTGAGAGTCCGTCTAAATCATCATCATAGGATCTTCCTCATCCCTCCAGTGTAGAAACAGAACATCTTAAGTTCTTTCACCTGCTATTAATGAGCGTTTAGTTATTAATGGATCTCTTCACTTCAATTCTAAATCTTAATCCTGGCTAACAACATGCAAACAGAGCTTTAAAGGCAGCCTGCAGATCTATCCCTCAGTATTAGTTTAAATCAGCCCTCAATGACTCTCCGATATGTCGGCCCACGAGGGATGCTCGGGACGGACCTGGGGCGCCTCGGGAAAAGAAGTAGGTATTTAAGGGAGCGTTTGAAAAGTGTCCTTTGAAGAATGCAGCCCCTGAAACGAGACGAGACGAGCTGTGAGGAGAACATGTTGAGAGGTTTCATATATGTCGCTTTTTTAAAGGAACGGGTTTCTGCACAGCCTCATACAGCATCACGTCGTCCTCTATAAAAGCTTCTTCTTTGTTACAACAAACATTCTGATATAGACTCTCTATCCTTCCGCCTATAGCTGTCCTTGAGCTGCACGCCCTCCTCTCTCTCTCTCTCTTTCTCTCTCTCTCTCTGTCTCTCTGTAAATGTTTTCTCCGCCTCAAGTGTCACAATGCAAACATTGAATGTTTGATGTTAAAGTATACAGTTTTCTTTCTGCAGTCTGTGATATCACACACTCAGATTCTAAATTTAGTAAATCAGCAGCATCTTCAGCTCCACCTGCAGATCCTCGACCCCACATTATCTCCGTGGATTCACTCTTTAGTTCCAGTCGAGGACAAAAGACACTGAAATCTTCTTAACTTTTCTCTGCTCTGCATACGGAGAGAGAGGTCGCGCTGTGTTTTTAATCGTCACTATCTTTGGAGGCTGATGAAAACACATAGCTCATGTTTATGGCAGGAAGGTCACCTCTCTGCAGCTCGAGATGTTTAATGTTCTTATTACCGAGCCGATCCACGCTCCGTCTCAGAGAGAGATTACTCGCCTGACCGATGGCCTGTCGCTGTGACGCTGTGAGGACGAGAAACAAAGATAAAAAAAGGTGAATAAACAAAGAGCGGACCTCCGAGGGAGCGTCGGCACTGTCTAACAAATCAATGAGAAGAGGAGTCCGATTAAATCACATCCAGGACTAATCAGGAATCTCATCCAGGACTCCGACTGTGACCGACGACTTCTAATGAGTGTGACTGCAGAGACACTGACCTGAGATCAGATCGGACTCTGCAATCTAAAGTTCATCAGATCCATTAAGTTTGCAGAAGATGTTCTTACAAACAGTCTGATGTTTAAAAGCACACAATCATTTCATCAGAACAGGAGACAGCAACTAAACATCATGCATTCATCTTACTCCACATTTAAAATTCAACCAACATTCAAACTGGGCCCCTCCTCCTGGGCTCATCGCCTCCAGAATCGCCGGTGTTTGTCACCTGCCTGTCCAACAGGAAGCAGAACAACTCCACGTCCACGGGTAAAAGCCAAAACAACATTCACCCTCGTTTTAGAACGAGCTTTATCCACTTGGTGTTTCTCCTCACTCTGATTATATTTTCTCTTCTTTGCTGCTACGTCCACGTCCGTCATATTCACCGGTTTGAATCCCGTCCAATCACTGAATTGTATCCACTCCTAAAATCACCTGCTGCGCTGTCAACGTTGCGCTGGAGGGGTTGACTCTGACACCCCTTCAAGGCCTCACAGATGAACATGATACTCATTTATTTCTGTCAGTCAAAAAAGCTGCACAGCTGGGAACCAAGCCCGATTTTCTATTACTGCAGAACATCAAAGCAGCATCACAGAGTACACAACACCACACACACACACACACACACACACACACACACACACACACACACAGAGTCTGTCACAGAGATGTGTGTGTGTGTGTGTGTGTGTGCGTGTGTGTGCGTGTGTGTGTGTGTGTGCGTGCTCACAGAGGAGGTTTCTGGCTGCAGATTAGGATTTTGTAACTTCAAAAGGAGCATAAACCGGAGACGCTGTCAATGACTGACTGTTTAATCCGAGGTAGCAGCTAAAGGTTGCAGCTGAGGCTAATTGTTCAGCTGGAAGCCCCGCCCCCTCGCTGTCACCAAGGCGATGTGCGGCTGCAGACTGTAGATTACACAGCGAGCAGGTCTGTGTGGAGATGACGGGGGATTAAAGTGCACGAGGAGCATCGATTCTCTGCTGTTTAAAGGCTTTGTGCTGCTGCTTTCATCTTATTAAGCTGATCAAGTCAAACCTGCAGAACATGACAAACAAACAGAGTCTATATTCTATAGGGGGGGGTGTTAAAGATTGTTTACCTGAGCAGGCGGACTTAAGAGTGCTGCATGTGTTATCTGAATGTGCAGAGGAGGAAGCAGGAGACTGACCTTAACGAGAAGGTGCATCATGTGGAGTGTTTGACTCTGTGGTTTGTGCAGAGTGAAGACGTTCAAACATCGAGTGAGATCAGCCTGAAAGGGAAAGCGTGGATAACAGCTTGGCTCTGTATGCAACATGATGCATTTCTCTGTCCATGGTGCTGAAATCTGCACGCCGCAGAGGGCCTTTTCACTGCTTCACCTGTTGTGTAAAAATAATTACTATAAATAATATATGTGTGAGAGAGAGAGAGAGAGAGAGAGAGGCCTGAACATGTGCTGAAATCATTTTAACACGTCCATGTTCTTCTTTTTTTATCGATTAAAACACCCAAAACTCAGCTCATCGTAATAAAATGAGTCTTGTTCTCGACAAAGCTGCTTCTTAAAGTCAGAGAAATGTCGTGATTATCACACGTCTTATCGGGTATTTTTACTAACTGTGACAGAAAAAGCTTTGAGCGAGGCGATAAAACCATTACGATAATTATCTGCGACAACATTTTTCTCAATAGAAATTTAACGAATGTTTGATAAAACGTTGATGGATTAGAGAATAGCTGAAATGAGCAACACTGAAGAAAACTGTACCGACTCAAAGAACAGAGAAAACATCGACGACAAGAAAGGCCACTCGTCTTTAAAGAGATATTTTGGATATTTACAGTCCAACAAAAAAATGATAGTAACGTGCTCTGTTAACTGTGCCGAAGAAAAATGCAGCTAAAACAGGCAAAAACCACAAACCTGACCCGTTAGAAAAAATGTCACCAATTGTGTCAACAATGTTAGAACACAGCGATCGACCAAACATCCCAAACAAGTGTCAGAGGACTGTGTGTGAAATCAGGCGTGAAAGCCTCAGATAAATGTAGAGCAGCAGATCTTCAGTTTCACATACAGTATCTGAATGTTTTAAAACAAACCAAACACCTTTAACTGATGATGAGTGATCCTCCTCTGGATGGCTACCTGTTTAAATCATAAAGATGTTCTGTACGTAGAGACGACAGTCAGCAGTGAAACACCTGAGCCGTTAACCTGCTTCACATCCTTTTTTACTCCGTGTCTACTCAAATATTCATTCAGTGCCTCCGCCCCTGGAAACATCTCGGAGGCTGTGAAGAAACACAAACATGAAGTTGACATCGTGTGCATATAAAAGTGTTAATCTTCTACAGACACACCTGCTGCTGTTTCTTCTTCTGTCACTTTACACAGACTCCAGCTTCAACATCAGCGTGTCTGAATAAACCAGTCTGTTCAGCTTTCTGCACTAAACACCAAGATTTCTACCTTTTGGAAAGCGTCCACATTTAAACAGAAATATCTAAACTTACCCTCTCACACAGCTTGTCACTTTAGGTGACACGTTTGTTTTTATTTTGCATCATTGTGCCCCG